TGTGTTGCTGCACTCTGTTAGCTAAATTTTGTTGAGTATTTTTGCATTGATATTCATTAGTGAAATTAGTCTATAATTCTCCTCTTTAGTTGGGTCCTACCTGGTTTTGGAAGCAAAGTGATGTTTGCTTCATAGAGTGTGTTGGGGAAAGTTCCTTCTTTCTCAGAGTTTTGGAATGGTTCTTTGGAATAGGTACAAGCTCATCTTTGAAGGTGTGATGGAATTCTGATGTGAGGCTATCTGGTCCAGGGCTTTTGTTGTCATTTTTCTGGAAGCTTTGAGCACCACTGCTGTAGACAAAGCAGCCTTCTATCGGATAAAGATGCCGTAAGGACTGTAATAGCTAGTGAGGAAAAGCAGAGAAGTCGATGCCTGGCTGCACAGCGTCAAAGGATAGGCTGCTTCTCTTGTTTGGGGCTAATGTAGCTGGTACTTGAAGCTGAAGCCATTGCCCACTTATAGTTTCGATAGTCCCAGGGCCCTTCACCCTGTGCTGACCTCCTCTGCCCTTGCCCTGTAGGTAGGACAAGGAAGCCAGGGTGGCAGTCTCTACTGCCAGAGGAGCGTGCACAGTGGAGATGTCATGTGCTGTTTGTCCCTCGCTATGATCAGCAGTGTCTGGCTGCTGACAGGAGCACTGGGAACACCTCTTGTAATTGCAGAAGTTAAATGTGACTTGTATTCATCTTTTGTTATTAGTGTATATTAAATGTTACAATTTCAATACAGTTTTTTTCCTTTTCTTAAAATGTGTGTACATTTTTTGGCCCCCTCTGTGTTTACAGCATGGTTTTCTGGATATTTTAAGCCCACTGTTGGGACCTATTGCGCAGTAAAAAGATTGCTTAGAAATTGTTACTGCTCATTGGACAGTGCACGGGTCACCCTGGAGCTCTGATGGAGATGCACAGGGATAAATGTGGTTCAGTGCTGGCTAGCACATGCCCATTCTGCAGCCGTGGACTGAGGAGTGATTTTGATTTTTAAATCTTCTTATTTAAGAAATACTTTTTGTGAAGGTATGGGTGCCACAGGTAATGATTCCCCTGAAGGGTCAGGGCTAAATAGATGGAGAACCTTCTGGAAAGGACTCTCACTGTAGCATATATACTCCCAAAGCAAGCACAGGATTCGTGTTTTGGATGCTGCTAGGAACATTCATGGTTTCTGTGAGGAGGTCAAAACATGAGCATTAATAGGAAATTGGAGCAAGTTATGGACTTCAGTGGAGAAAGTCACTGCAGTGTGGGGGAAACAGCAGGTGAACTAGGATCAGAAGCTGGGCCTGACCCGGGCCTGATGGGG